TTTTTCAACCGATTTCAACAAAACTTCACAGGACTACGTAAAATTACCTCGCGGTGGTTCTGACAGCGCCAAAAATTGGGGAAACACAATTGTTTTTGCATGAGATCAATTTGAAAACACAATTAAGAGTCATCGCTGTCGAAAATGAAAGGGGGACAACTAATATCGAGTTATACTTATTATAAAACCCAGGTTGTGTGTGTGTGTTCCTTTATATATGGGATCAGATTTCCTACATTTTTCAACCGATTCCAACAAAACTTCACTGGGGGGGGCAGGTAGTGTTTCTTATTGTCTTGCACACTTTCTTTATTTTTACATTCAGAATGCTTTAAAAATTCTATTTACAAGACAATTGTTTATAATAAAATTCTATTCAATCGATAGACTCATAACGATTGAAAACAATGTTTTTGTTCGAGTTTGGGTTTGACCAATTCGTAAAAAAAAAAAACAAACTAATTAAGACATGCTTGTCCATCAACCTTAAACAATAATCTTTGTCAATTTTATTTTTCAGTCTTTATGATGGTTGATACTTGATCTATCTCTTATTGTTACATCCCCGGGCAACGCCAGGCTCTACTGCTAGTACTTGATATAATGCAAAAAATATCACACTGATAAAATCAGTAAATAATTACTTGTAACTTCTTATACTATTTATACTGTGACTCATGCATGCAATTAAAAGTAACCCATAATAATATTTTGAACTTTGAAATCATTTATTTTAAGCGTATGAATTTTTTGAAATGGTTTCTTAACCTTTGTCTTTGATTCATTTTAGCTCACCTGCTATCCTCGCTGCACCGTTTGGGAACCACTGCCTTAGAGCAACCCCAACCCAATCTTGCTTTTTTTTTTGTTTCTTTTACATTGATGTTCACTTTGTACAAGGTCCGGGAGCCACTCAAGGTAGAGGATTACAGAGTAAGAGGCACAGTTTACGCAGATATATCGGGGAAGATAACAATTAATCTTAGATTTGAACTGGTTGAGATTGTAGTGATCAGGAAAACATCCTCTTGGGATGTTAATACTAATTAAGAATGAAAATAACGTACGTGCAAAAACTGTGTAAGATATTTTTTTCCAAGGTCAGGAATGTGAACCAAATCTTCAATCTGCAAAAAGAAAAATCATAGAGTTTTAGAGTAAAAATAATAAAATACCACTGATGGTTGTTCCTTGTTGTGGTGGACAAATTTGCACGGTCCAATGACTCTAAGAGGGGTGTTGTTGGGAGTTCTAAATTTCAGTAGGGTCACTCTTGGTGACAAGGTCTAAGACAAGGACCCAGACTAAGCGCAACCAACCAACCCCAAAGACCCCAATGGTGGAACACGTGAATAACGATTACAAGAGATCTCAATAGTTGAACAAGCGGGTGGAGAGAGCTGTGCATGATGGACATGCTACAGAAAGTGCCACTCAAAATTATAACCAGGTCAGCGGCAAATCTGTTGCAGTTTCATAACTGAATCCTTCCATATTTGCCACAGAGGAAGGTCATGAAATCAAATGTGTGGATCACTTCCAAGCAAGTTTAGGTCCATCTTAAACAAATGTCATCAGCAGTTTCTTCTACTGATTTTCTCTCACCTTCAACCAACTCTTGCAAAGCCAAACAGCAACAGAGAATGAATGACGAGAACAGGTTTTGGAGAAACTGGATCCTGGATCTGCATGTTGGCAGTGAATTTAGTCATTGATGCCATCATCATAAAGGAAGCGATCAGCAAAGAAGAAATTAAATTCTTGAATACGAGATAAAGCTGATAAGGACCACATTGCGTTTGTTGATGCTATATCATAATGGATATAACTAGTTGGATAGAACAGACCTTTGGTGAAACTAGAAATGGTGCCAGACACCAAATATCAGTTTTCAACATAATTTTCCTTCTATTTATCAGAAAATTATGATCTACGCCTCTTTTTTTATGCTTTTGGGGTACTGAATTCATTTCTGTTAATGAAAATCCCCATAAAAGAAGTCTAAATGAGTTAAAGGCAAAAATTATGCCCTTTTTGAGAATTTTGGCTCTTCCCTGCAGACTAGGGTTTCGAGACTTAAACCACTAATTTTTAATTAGAAATGTCAAACTTTTGTACAAATAAAATTAATACATTTCAAATAATTGAACTGAAAATCATTCAGGAGGCTTAAAAAGCCCAAATATCTTTAAAGCTCTTTCGTACCAGCCCACTGTATGTATAATACCATGATGCTCTTGAATCAATAACAATTGCTAGGTCTGCTGCTGAGAAACTTGGTTCACTGTGTTGTACTAGACAATTTTTCTCTCCAGAATCTATCTTACATATTTATAAGTCTCCCATTTGTCCATGCTGCCAAATATAGTCTAGTACTACTGTTATGTATTTACAAATTTTTGATAAAAATACAAAGAAGAATCTGCAATGTTATCTGTCCTGACCTGGCATTATGGATACAATAACTTTCCCACTATCATAACATAGCTTCCCTCTGCCTTTTCTATAAATATTTTCATGGTAATTGTTCTGATGAGTTTTCCCCTTTGGAAGTGAGACTTTAAGAATTTAAGCACAGTACTAGATTGGCAGCAAGGTCACATCATTCTATAGTTGAAATGGCTAGATGAAACTGCAAATTTTATGCTAACAGTTTCTTTTCTCGCACTTCTCACTTGTGGAACTCTCTTCTTGTTTCCCAGTCAAATTTAAATGCAATGTCAATCATTATCTTCTCTCTTCTTGATTCCTCTTCTTTTATCGTTCTCGCGCAATAATGTTTCTCTTTTTTCTTATACACTCACACTCAGTAACCTCTTGTGTCTTAGTAGCTTTACTGCCTTGTATGGGGAGATTTGATTAAAAACAAAAAATAAAATCTAAATTACAACAAAAAGATAAATTGAAATTATCTACAGAATTTCTATTTATTGTTTTAATCTGTTAATTGTTAATTAAGTTTTTCTTATTAATGCATGTCGTTTAATGGACAGTGGCATGGAATTGAGAAACTAGAGAACTGAGTTGTAATTTGAAGAGAAAATAATGACATAATCAAGATATTGATGTTCCACACTACTTCAAACAAAAGGTTAGGAAGGAGCCGCCCTCACACATTAATACTGGAGAGAGCTGTTAAGATAGAAGCCATGGTCCAAATGCAAGATAAATAACACAACTGTCCAAACAAACAGAAATTAATAATATTTGCAATAGGAAGAAAGAAAGGCAAAAAAATTAAATGGTATCAGGTATGCAAGCAAACAATATAAGTAAAGTAAATTCACAGGTAAGAAAGCAAAGAGGTTTACAAACCACAAATTAGCATCTATGCAGAAAAGCTAGGTCAGAGAGGTGAACCCAATGATCTTCCATATAGACAAGGTAGATCTGGACTGAGTCAAGTCAAATTGTAACTTGACTTATTTTATTGACTAAGAAAAGTATCCCAGCATGCATTTTGTGGACTTTTTGCCTATAAAAGGGGAGGGGAAAAATTTTTGCAGTCATTCCATAGAGATTTGAAATTAACAGGACTTGAGATAGGTATTTTCCTGGAAAATTGTTTTAAGAGAAAGATTTTATAAATTTCAACTAGCACTGTCACCTCAGTTAATAAATACCTAATGTATTATAAGAAAACAGCTATTATTACTGTTATAGACAAGCGTATGGTTGCAAGAAAGAAATACGACAACAGAAGAAATAGATTTACGTGATTTATTTCAACAGGAACGTGAGGGTTTGGGACAGCTACCTTGTGGTATAGTTCATAAGTAGGCTTCGGATCTAGGTTGATCTCTCATAGTAGTTCACACAGGTTGACGCTGGCACTCCTCCTGCTGACTGCTGCTGACCGCTCAGCCTGACCGTGACAGGTCTCTTCCCTGGTACCTGTTGTACTTCCGTGTGACCCCTTTTATGGCGATATTTTTATGGCTTAACAGGCTCAAAAAACGAAGCGAGTATAATTAGGAGGGAAGCATTTTTATCAGTCGAAAAATAGAAACACTTTAAATATTATTTCATTTTTTGAGCGGAACTCGTGCGTCGGGAACATTCATAAATGACATTAATGGTCATTTTGTGACGGGGCCTTGTCCTGTTTACATCCGGCACTCGCTCTTGAGTATGTTAGTTTATTTGCCTGTAAATCAGCCGAGATATGTCTTACTTTATTTTATAACATCACCATTATCATTCTACTTCATAGAAATCATCTATTAGGTTATAAATAAAAGGAAAATTAATTTGGGTGCAGTATCTGACATGCTTTGTAAATGAGAAGCTCGCAAAGAAAACGGTGTCTTTCCACATTTTGGCATTTCAGCTATTTTAAGATTCTTATAAAAATAAAAGCACATAAGATATACCAAAGGAGTTTATAGTTTTGTAATCTACAGTACATATTAACTATTGTCACCAAGTTTCAAACCTGTACCTGCAATATCCTTGGAGCTATAAATGTCAGATATTTGTCAGGAGTTTTTGCAATTGGGTTTATATAGAGAAGCACAAAAAATGCAATGAGATTTCAAGATGGTCTGATTTTAAAACTATTAAAGGATAGATATCCAATATTTGGGATTTACCAATTGTTAATTAATCTTGCAACACCTTTCTCTCTTTGTCGAAGTTTCCAACTCAATGTTTCATTTATAGCATCCTCATATTACGGAAAGTAACTTCACTCAATCTAATAAAAGTATTATCATACTTATTATAAAACTCAGGTTGTGTGTGTGTGTGTGTGTGTTCATTTATATATGGATCGAGATAACTGCAGAATTGAAGTCAGAACATGATCAACTCCTCCAATTTGCATACCATAGTTATTATATTCTTAATCATACTTATTATAAAACCCAGATTGTGTGTGTGTGTCTGTATGTTTATATATTGGATCGGATTTCCTACATTTTTCAACCGATTTCAACAAAACTTCACAGGACTACGTAAAATTACCTTGCGGTGGTTCTGACAGCGCCAAAAATTGGGAAAACAATTGTTTTTGCACGAGATCAATTTGAAAACACAATTAAAAGTAATTGCTGTCAAGAATGAAAGGGGGACAACTCATATCGAGTTATACTTATTATAAAACCCAGGTTGTTTGTGTGTGTATGTGTTCCTTTATATATGGGATCGGATTTCCTACATTTTTCAACCGATTTCAACAAAACATCACTTTTTTTTTGGCTGGTAGTATTTCTTATTGTCTTGCACACTTTTTTCTTTATTTTTACATTCAGAATGCTTTAAAAATTCTATTTACAAGACATTTGTTTATAATAAAATTCTATTCAATCGGTAGACTGATAACGATTGAAAACAATGTTTTTGTTTGAGTTTGGGTTTGACCAATTCGTAAAAAAAAAACCCCAAAAAAACTAATTAAGACATGCTTGTCCGTCAACCTTAAACAATAATCTTTGTCAATTTTATTTTTCAGTCTTTATGATGGTCGATACTTGATCTATCTCTTACTGTTACATCCCTGGACAATGCCGGGCTCTACTGCTAGTTGCAAATAAACTCGGCACCCATAAATGAAAATGTATCAGAAGACGCTAAGCAAAAGGTAACTTGTAGTCAGTGCCATAATAAAAACTTCCAACTGTGAGTAATCTTGTGATTGGCAGTAAATTTATTCATTTCTAGCAATCTGCGAACATTATCCAGAAGTAAGAAAATTTGCTCAGAATTATGTCTGTCATTTCTGAAAGATGTGAACAAGCATTTGTAGCTGCGAAATTGATTGAAAATAAAACAAAACTCACAGTTGACTGATTTAAAGAATTCTCTGATATTCTTAGTAAATATTTTAATTCTAAAAATTAAAATTTTGGCCAAATCAAAACAGATTAAAAAGTTTCATAAAAGGAAGAAATGCTCATTTTCTAAATATATTAAATCAAATTAAAATATTAATATTAACAATTAATATTAAAATATTAAGAATTATTGCAAAAAAATATTAAAATTAATATTAAAATATTAAATCAATAAACTATATAAAAATGCTAAATATATTTAGAAAACTATTTTTACAAGAATTAATAGCAGTTATTTTTTTTATCAAGTTAGTTTGGACATTCATGAATCTATCATGCCAACCAACACTGTCCTGCATCAAGGTTGAAAGGTCATTAGGGAGGCATTCTGTGCATATATATATATATATATATATATATATATAAAAATAATAAGCTTATAAATATAAGTAATTATACTTGTCTGAAAAAACCTTAGGTATTTTGGCTTGTAAATGAACAAACCAATACCCAAGGAAAAATAAGAAATAAAAAAAAAAAGAAAGAATTAAGAACATGTAATTCAGGCGAAAACAATCGTCCAGAATCCAAGCTCAGAGTCCAAAGAGAAAAACCTTCAAAACGAGTAAAGTGCTCAACACACTAAGTAGAGCAAATCTAACCGCGTTATCTACTTAGATATGGAAAATTAAACATGACTATAATAAAGACTCCATTTTGAAATGGGAAATATTAAAGAAATGCCATAAGTATAAAGCAGGTAATAAATTTTGTCCTCTATGTATAGAGGAAAAGTTAGCTATTGCTTTGTATAAAGAACCCAACAATTTGCTAAATTTAAAATCTTGAGTAAGTGTAGACATAGGAAACGCTAGTTAGTAAAATAGGTTTGGTTTTCTCCTGCACCCGCTTTTGTTTTTTTTTTTGTTATTGAATAAATATGTATGAACCCCTCCCGTTGTTGAGTTACTGTTTATTTATTTTTTATTTTTTTGTCACATGGTCATGTTTTTATGTTGTAGGCTATTTATTTTCTGTTCCAATGTTACGTTTTTGGCCGGCGTACCCTGACGTTCTAGGTAGGTTTGCCTGACTCTTTAGGTTCATAGTTTTTATATATATATATATATATATATATATATATATATATACATACATACACTGCGTGCCAAATTATTATCGAGATAACTTATTCTCTAATATTTCAAAAACCATCCAATCAATTCACACAAAATTTTCACACAATGTTGGCAACACTGACCTGCGAAATCATGGAAATTTTCGTACTGATCTGCGCATTGTAAACAAACTGGCGAAATTATGCATATTTACAGATTGTGACAGGTATCAGGGAGATGTGATTAAATATACTTTAATGTTTAAAATCTTTATTCAGTATTATTATTGTTTAGGTAATAAGCATTATAATATAGCACAAATAGCTATAGTGTGGGAAAAGGAATTTTTGACAATATACACATTTTTTTATGTATTTATGGTAATTTTTTAACTTTTGTCAAAAATGACATTCTTATACATGTAGTTATGGATAATATTATACATTAATTACTAATTTTTTTTAATTAATAACTATTTGTGCTCATTGATAGCTATCTGCTGATGTGTTAAAATTTTGGCATAATGCAATAATAAAAATTTAAATTTCATCTCTGGTAGATGTCGTGATCTGTTAAAATAGTGTAACTTATTCCCATCAAGGTTGAAAGGTTTAAGTTGTCTTATTGCCCCGTTAACATAACAAGGTACCTATACATATAACTGCTCAATGTAGGTTGTTGCTGAGAAACCAACTTGTCTTGCTTCATTGCTAGGTGTCCAGAACAGTAGATTACTTGTTCTTGTTTTGCTCATAAGCAGTGTCCTGCAAAGCATATTCTGTGTTGGCATCAGATTGTAGAAATATCAGAGATGGGTGCATAGAGCTGTGGTTTAGTTGGATGTTGTCTCTAAGGGATGTTAAGTATAGCTCTCAGCATCTGAGTGTAGATTCCGTCTAGCTTAGACTATAGGGCAGGGATTGGCAACCTATGGTACGCAGCTGCTAATGACATCACAAAGTCCAAACCAATAACTACTACAATGCAAAGAAGATATTTAGTCGTTTCAATTTTAATATATACTAAAATATATATTACTATATAAAAAATATTGTAGAACAGTTATATTGACCATGACTTGTATAAAAATACATATATTGTTGGCACACTGAATGATTTTAAAACCCTAAGTCATCACATAGTTAGCAAAATGTTGGTCCCTGCTCTAGTGTTTTAGTTAACATCAAGGCAGTGGCACCATACATTAACACCACCTCTGCATTTGGCTTGAAAGAATCTCTGCTTGAGGTTGTCTAGTAGATCAGATTTCCAGTTTATGTCCACTTTATTCAAGGCAGCCGAGGTTTTAGGTATGCGATTTTTCACATCCTTAGAAGTAACTAATTTAGCTCAAAACATTAAAATTTTGGCCAAATCAAAACAGATTCATAAAAGGAAGTAAATAAATTATATAAAAATGTTAAATATATGTATCTAAATATTTTTTACAAGATAATGTGAGTGCAAGTAGTATATAGCACACCTGAACCTGTGCACCAAAATTCTAAAGCTTGGAATGTGAAAGGCTGTCTAGATCTGAATAAAAGATATTGAATTTAGGAATAAAATTCTAATAAGTAAAAATATATTTTTAACAGGCAATTGTGGAGTGTTCACAAAAGAAGCCAAAATATTTATTTCTGAGCCAATTATAAATGTATTTATACTATTTACATTGTTCAAACTGTTGTCCTCATCTTTATTGTCACATTCACAATGTTTCGGCCATTGTACACTCTGGCCTTCTTCAGGTTCGAACAATGTAAATAGTGTAAATAGTTACAATACATCATCTCAGAAATATAGACAATTATAAATGGTTGACTAAAATTACCTGCTGAAAGGGCCCGTGATACTGGTTCCACTTGATGATCATCTGTGCACGGTTTTTCCCTACTGTGTGCAAAAGCATCAAGTCCTTTTCACATTGAGAATTTAATATCTTTAGAACATCGTCCCCTAGAAATAAAACAAAGTTGTAATTTAATAAATTGTATGGATAAGCATCAAACAGAAATATAAAAGAGAAAAACCTTCAAAAGTTATTGACATTGTTTGAACTGTTAACCTCATCTTTGTTGCCATATTCATGATGTTTCAGCCATTGTATGCTCCTGTGACATTGGGTCTCAGTGGGTTAATCAAACAAAAAGGTAAAGAAAGAAGAGGAAAGAGTCTACTAAATGGAGGATAACTGCTGAAATTCACAGGTAGATGGATTCAAATGTTGAGTAAAAAATTAAAAAAATGTGCTGAAAAATCAAAAAGTAGTAAGTGAACTCCCAAGTGGTTCCAAGGAGAATCAAACCTAGACGAAATTCAGTAAGATTGAGCAAAACCAAGACTACCCATCCTTCTCCACTTCCCAACCAATAAGAAAGAGCCCATTAATACATCCTCAAAGATGTCAAATAGAAAAACATATGTTGTCGATAAAGAGATCCAGGTGGTCACCAAAATAACATTTAAAGATCACTCCAGACAAAAAAAAAGCCATGAAAAACAATTTGGTTTGAATCAGCCACCCTGAAGAAAAGTGTCTCTACAAAAATAGAGGTTAGCCTGACAGGTTTGTACATTTTAATTTCTGTGACATTCGTCAAGAAAAATATCCGACATTAATTCAGTTTCCTTTGGATACAAGTGATAAAGAAAAATTAATTACGAGTTTGGAGTGACCATGGGTAAAAAGGCTGTGCAGTCTTGCTGACCGAGAAAATGCATAAACTTATTTCATCACTAAAATGATGGGGAATATTTTTCTTCCCTTTTCTTTCTCACCCACATCAATTCTTGAGATTAACTGGTGGTAGCAGGGGGGGGGGAGGCATCTGGATAGGCTCTGAACAATTCTCTGGCTTTGAAAAATTACAGCATGAGACAAGCTGATGAAGAAAGATTAATTATTGGAAATCCCTTTTCGCCTATGCATCCTGAAAGGTTGGATCTGTCACAGGAACAGTATATTGGCCCTTGGCGTGGGCTGAGGTTAGATGCTGAGAAAGTGGGAGAATTAAGAGAGAGAGATAGCACCGCTTGTATAGAGCAATGGTGCAAGATGAGACATGAAAGGAGTTGGAGTTAAGGGACAGCTTGATCCCTCTGACTATTCTCAAAAGGGGGCTGGACAACCCCCAATTTGGAAAATCACTCAAGTAAACATATTTTGAGAATATGGAATTTTAGAAAAAGGTTGATGCTAAGGGTGGAAGATAACCAAACCTGGACAACCCCACTCCTGCTGGAGGTTTGGACAACTTGGAGAGTCCACACATTACTGCTACTGGTATCCACATCATTCGCTGAGACCTTTTGACCAAGACCTTGTTCCAACCCGGAAGACAAGAACTTAAAAATTTAAATTACTACTAACACAAACAGCAAACTCCAACATAGGGTCCCAGTGTCATTTGATTATAACAGTAAATGGGAAGGATTAAAACCACTCTATACAACAAATCATATATAAACCAAATCATTAACTAGGGTTATTTTTAACCCAAGTTAATTTTTTATGCCAAAGAATCCTTTTTTTTTTTGTGTGTGTGTGTGTGTGTGTGTAGTTCCTTGTTGTTGGCCAGTCGTTCACTTCAGTTTACTTCATAAGCAATTTTCTTACCCCCTGAGATCAAAAACACAACACGGCAGGGGATCATGAAAGAGATAAATGCCAGCTAATCAAGTGGAACCATGCTCACCAACACAATACCAATGACCAATCAGCAATATGTTAACAAGTGAAGGGTCAGCTAAATGGTAACCACTGTGGTCAGTAGGAACTCAAAGACCAACATGGGGGAGTGGGCATGTTATTGTTACCATTGGCCAGGATCAACACAGGTCTACACTGCAGCCTTCATCAGGTGATTGGAATTTCGAACCAAACTCTTTATTTCTTCCTCAAGGATATATGGCCTAGTAGATAAAAGCACTGGTTGAAATAATCCAGTGATTGACAACAAAGAGTTGTGAGTTCAGTACCTAGCTAAAGCAGAGGTGAATAAAAATTTTGGAGAGTTGAGTTAAAGGGAAATAACTGATACTGAAATATCTGGAAGAGGCACAGTACATGGAATTAGAACATTCTAGACAAAATAAAGCGTTCAGTTCAAAATTCCAATCACCTGAAGAAGGCCAAAGCATACAAAGGTTAAAATATCATGAATATGGCAACAAAAATGAGGACAAGAGTCCGAACAATGTAAGTAGTGTAAATAATTACAATACATCATCTTGGAAATATAGATAGACCTTAAAAGAGTTATTTTAAAGAAAATAATCAAACAAAAGAATAATACACCAACATTTTGTTTGTAATGTTTGCAATGCTCTGCATTATTAGTAATAATTTGGATATAAATAGTGTAAATAACTCTTTTCTTTGTTCCTAATGATTTTTCCGTTTCTTAATACTTTGCTTAGCTTTTGAAAGGAATATTTTGCTACCCCAATGATTTTGGTGTCACAAATTTCCATCTTCTGTTAAAACACTTTCCATATATTAAATTTTTATACTTGCTGGATTTCAATATTTCCAATTTGTAAAACACATGTTGATCTCTCCTTTCACTGATGACCATGTATTCTGTTTTCTTACAATGGATATTTAGTCCTTTCTTCATGCTTTCCTTCAGTATCTTCTGTAGGAGTTCTTGTATTTTCTTTTCTGTGTCTGCTATCAACACTGTGTCATATGCATATCTTATGCTGTTAAGATTGTGGCTGCCAATAATAAATCCTGGCAGGAATTCAAATCCTCTCAGAATCACCTCAACGTAAAGGTTGAATAAGTCTGGTGAGAAGACACATCCTTGTCTTACAACCCTTTTTATTTTTGTGTATTTACTGAATTCATTTTCTGTCTGTATGCAGCTGGTTTGCTGCCCAATATAAGTTCTGCTAATGTTAATTGGAAGTATCTTTGTTAGGATGGTTCTAAGATGTTTGCATGAAACCCTCATCCTATTTCCATCTTGTAGACTCCAATGAGGAGTATGGGACCACAAATTCCAATAACACAAGACATTGCTACTGTAGTTGCCATAACAGCTAAGTTTTTATAGGATGAAGTAGCTAGCCATATGTCCAACAAATTTTCTTCAGTTTTTGCTTACAGTACCCAATGTTCCCAAGTGGTCCCCCTCATCTCAGTACTGACTGGGCTTAACCTTGCTTAACTTCAGTGATCAAACAAAAACCAGTGTTTCACCATGCTTGACCATTGTATGAAACAGACTTTCAATACAAGCTGTCTCAGGTTAATCAATAAAATCTGTTGAATTTTTTTACATGCCTCGGAGGCGAAATAAATTCTACTGAACAGGATGTGCAAATTTGCATAGCTAAAGCCTTGAAAGCCTTGAATAAATTGAATGCCATCTGGAAATCTGATCTACCAGATATCCTTTTGCACCATTGCAGATGCAGTGCTAATGTATGGTGCCACTGCCCGGACATTAAGTAAAACCCTAGAGTATAAGCTTGATGGATCCTACACTCATATACCTAACATCTCTTGAAGACAACATCCAACTAGATCACAGCTCTATAGACACATCCCTGACATCTCTACAATCTTACGCAAATACAGAATGCGCTTTGTCAGACACTGCTGGCAAGCAAAATAAGAACTTGCCAGTGATCTACTGCTATGGATGAGCGATCTACCTAGCCATGGTGCAAAATGGGCTAATCGCCCAGCAACCATATACACTGACCAGCTATGTTATGACACAGAATATCACCCTAATAACCTTCCAAACTTAATGTAGGACCCTGATTGTTGGTGTGATAGATTCATGAATGTCTGAGATAGCTTGACTGAATAAAAATAAAAAATAATATTAATATGAAACAGTCAAGTGAAAAGACGGACATGAAAGATAACTTAATAATTTCTGGGATGAGGAGTTATTATTCACATGATTTACATTCAGACAATTGCTGATGTTATCACAATGTTTTGACTGTTGGGCTCTCCGGCCTTCATCAAGTATATGTCAATCTGGGTAACCTACTGAACCCTTTATTTAATCTACGGGAGTAGACTGTTCTCATTCCATTGTCTATATCTCATCTAGTTCTTATTCATAGTATTGCTCAGCTATTGCTTGCCTTATTTCCACTGAGTCCAAATACACACTGCTTAGCCTAGGGATTGAACTCACATTTACAATGTCAACACAAACTAATATTTTAATCCACTGGTGATTCTCTGTGGAAAACTTGAAGTCTTAAATCTAACCTGACTGCTGATGAGTGCTGCTGTATAGGCAACCTGGCTCAATATATACCTGATGAAAGCCGGGGGGCACAATAGCTGAAACATTATAACATCAATGAAGATGATGACAATAGTCTAAATGTAAATAGTGTAAAAAACAATATTAATAATTGGGAAAAAATATATTTAAAGACTTGGAGACTTAACAAAATATGCCATCATTTTGGATGGCCTGGGTAAATTAGTATATTTATATATTTAAAGACTCACATGTGAAAACCTTCTAATAATAGTAAGGACTGAACAAAATATGCCATCATTTTGGACCGCCTGGGTAAACTAGTATATTTATATATTTAAAGAATCACATGTGAAAATCTAATAATAGTAAAGACTTAACAAAATATGCCATTATTATAGATGGTATGGGTAAACTAGTATATCTATATATTTAACATTTAGCCCTCTGCTTCATTTATAAATATTACTTCCCCCTTTTACTGTAAATGGAATCCCCTCAAAATATAGTCTATTATATATTAGTTCTATATATTTTAAATTGCAGTAGCCTGCCTCTCAATTTCAGTCTAGATTGTTTTAGGTGTTGTCATATGACTACACAACCAAGAAATTCAAATTCAACTTGTATTGACAGGACTAACATTTCACTTGGCAAAAATATAGTCACCTACAGAGTGCCAAAGGTTAAAAGCTCATATGTGAAAACAAAGAAAATTTACACTTTCTTTTCTAGAATGAATTGAATTTCAATGGCAGAATGTAAAGATTTCTAAATGATCATAAATACTGTTAAAAAATTTGAGTACAAAATTTAGTTGGAATATCATTAAAATTTCTAATTTGCAAACATTCTATTTTTTAGTTTATTTTGAATAAATTTGATGAATGAATAATTTTCAGTAAAAGGTTCAGTGAAAGCATTTTTTAAATAATGTCGATCTTAAAGGAGGCACGGCTTAAATGAAACTGAATGTTTTGTCCAAAATGAGATAGAGATTTTGACCATTCTCTATGACAATGTGAACAGTTTTATTATTATATTAACGATTATTATTATATTATGGATTATAGCAAAAGGATTGATTGTGCGGATTTAATTTGATTTGTTTATCAAAAAACAGATTTGTCTCAATATGTTATTTAAATGCAAGCATTTTCATTTTTTATATTTCTTTTATAGTTATTGTGCAGAGGAATTTTATTTTTTCAGCTCTGATAAGTGAGGAGTGATAACTGATTTGCTTGTTCCATTTCATTCTCTTTTTTTTTTTGTGATTCTATTTTTGTACTTTTGGTTTTTCTTTCTCAACATTTTCTTTTTTTTTTTTTAACTATGTCCATAAGATCAAGTATTATTATTTTGTGATGGATTAATCTCAAGATCCTAGTAACAAAACAAAAACTAAAACTAAAATAAAATGGTTTAACTTACGGTGGTTTTTCTGTTTATTTTCTATTAGTAGATAGTCTGAAAAAAAAAAAAATAGAAATGAAATATTTGTCAAATAAAATCAGCAGAGAGGTATGACAATAGAGAAAAAAAAAACAATACAAAAATTATAACCAAGACTATCAGGAAAAAAAAAAAAATAAAATAAAATCAACCTACCTACGACATTGTTTCTCTAGTGAACCTTTATAATCAAAGTATTTATAACAGATAATGTTGTTGTTGGGTTTGTAAAATTAGTCTGCTCCTACATAGAGAGATTGGTCACATGATGTTAAACAGTCTCTCATTGGTTAATAAAACCATGTGGGTTCAGAAAAAAGCTAACCACCACCAGAAAAGGGACCAGGCCTGCTCTGAAGTAAAACAGAAGAAATTCTCTCCGCCGCCAATGGTACCAGTTGCCGAAGGTTTTAAAGGTACAAGCTACCTAGCCCTATTTCACTCCATCAGATGGGTAAGTCTGCCTGACATATTCTCTCTCTCTCTATATATATATATATATATATATATATATATATATATAGGAAAGGATATTGTGTTTATGTTAACCATTGTATCCATGTCTAGGTGTAAATAAATACCTTAAAGTATTCTTATTCATGTCAATCTCAAAGTAAAGTGGGGTTAGCACAATATTGTTTTTTTAAGTATCTTTATTATAATTTTGCTTATACCTCCCTTCCTTCGTTAGTTAGTTAGTTCCTTAGTTCAGACGACCATTACACCCTGCCGATACCGCATGAATAATGGACTATTCCATTTTAACTGCTTGAACAGACAGAACTAACATATCAAAGACACTACTTGGTTTCAGTGAGAAAATGAAAGAGAAAAAGGAAAATAGAAGTGTTTAACATCAGTTTCAGTGAAATGGAAAAGTTATCAAATTCAAATATTTTCATATGTACACCATTACTCATAAATAAATTTATTAATAGAAATGTTTGCAAGATGAGCTAGTTCTTTCTTTTTATTTCTGATCATCTTCATCCAATGTGAGGATTCAATTAAAGATTGCTGACAAAGTTAACCTCGAAAATGAACTCCAATCTGTGGTTGACTGGGGCAGGAAATGGCTTGTGAATTCTAATGCCTCCAAAACAAAACCGAGCTCATTTGACCACCATAGAGAAACCTCTCTGCTTCCTCTCAGCATGGTTGATGCTCAACTCCATGAGAGCATCTCATTGTGCCTCCTTGGTCTCGTGTTCTCCACTGACCTGAGGTGGAACAACTACATTGAATCAAATGCTGCATCTACTGCAAGGAAAGTTGGTTCTTTGTGCCACACCAGAAGGTTTTTCTTGTCTGAATCCATCCTTCATATCTACAAATCTATCATTCATCCATGCATTGAATACTGTTGTCATATATGGTTCGGTGTCCCCGCTGTTCATCTCAAGGTTCTCGACAAAATCCAAAGTTGATATGCAATGTGGTCAGTCCTGACTTAGAGTCCAATCACTTTCTCATGACATAATGTGGCTTCCCTCTGTCTTTTCTATAAATATGTTCATGGACTGCTCTGACAAGCTATTTTCATTGATGCCCCAACTGCATGAATTTAAGTGTGCTACTAGGTTGACACCTCAGTCTCACCCTTTTACCATCGAAACAGTTAAATGTAACTGCCTCTTCTACTCCAACAGCTTCTTCTCTCGCACTTCCCAACAGTGGAACTCCCTTCCTCTTATTTTCTTCTCTGATAACTATAATCTTCAAAAATTTAAATGTCACTCGACATCTTCTGTTGCCTTGATCCTCGTTCTTCTTTTTATCCTTTTTCTCAACCCTCCCCCCTATACCCAGTCTTTTCCCTTACTTACTCTCTGTAGACCCTTGTGTACTTGTGGCACTCCCAACTTGCTTGGAGTGAATTGCTTTAAATAAAAAAAAAAAAAAAAAAAAAAAAAAAAAAAAAAAAAAAGGTCATCCAGTCACCTTTGATTCTGTTTTTCTGACAGAATACACACTGTTTGCCCAAATTACTCTCTTATCAGTGTCTTCATTCCTTTTCTACTTACAGTTGGAAAGTTATGATTAACTGACTTTTGCCATGAAAGTTGAAAATTAATATTAGCTCAAGCTCTAGGGATCCATCCTCCCAGGCAGTACCTCTCCTTTGGGAAGGGGCTGGGGTCATTATCCGGCACCCGAGGTGCCCACAAAAGAGGAAGTGCTAAGGGGCCTCGATCAATTTTTCAATGGTATTACTGGTAACCCGCATTAAATTTTGACCTTGTGTCACATTCAGTAGCAACATGGGCACACTGAAAAATACCTACTGTTGGAAAGTAATCCTAAAAAAAAAAAAAAAAAAAAAAAAAAAAAAAAAAAGATCACTACTTATCCTGGAATAAAAAAATAACCTGGTATTAGAGGGGGGGAGGACTAGCTGAAATAGTGAATCAAAAAAAAAAAAAAAAAAATCATATCACAGAATTTAATTATTTTGAAAGATAAATTGGAAAATATTTTTGTAGTTTAGTCTTACAATTTTAGAATTTCTATTTGACAAAATTTTTATTTTCTTAAATTTAAAAAAACATTCCTACTTTCCTTCACCCACACTGTTAAGCAGGCAGTTACTACATTTGGATACATACATAGACATGTATATTTACTTCCTCTTGGAGTCCTCTCTTTCTCTCTATACTCCAGGACTTTTATCCTTGAACTCTTGAAATCTAGACTTTCGCCTTATCTTTCTGTATTATTATATTGTATTATATAAAGATTTATTTTGCATTTATCAACACTCTGTGCATTTTCTTTTAATTATATTACACAAGCAATATATTTTAGAAGCAGATGTTGTCATAAGATAGCATCATACATATTTAATAAAAAAGAAAAAAGAGAAAAAAAAAAGAAAAAAAAAAAAAAAAAAAAAAAAAAAAAAAAAAAGAAAAAAAAAAAAAAAAAAAAAAAAAGAAAAAAAAAAAAAAAAAAAAAAAAAGAGAAAAAAAAAAAAAAAAAAAAAAAAAAGAAAAAAAAAAAAAAAAAAAAAGAAAAAAAGAAAAAGAAAAAAAAAAAAAAAAAAAAAAAAAAGAAAAAAAGAAAAAAAAAAAAAGAAAAAGAAAAAAAAAAAAAAAAAAAAAAAAAAAAAAAAAAAAAAAGAGAAAGAAAAAAAGAGAAAGAAAAAAGAGAAAGAGAAAAAGAGAAAGAGAAAAAGAGAAAAAAGAAAAAAAGAGAAAGAGAAAAGAGAAAAAAAAAAAAAGAAAAAAAGAGAAAGAGAAAAAGAGAAAGAGAAAAAGAGAAAGAGAAAAGAGAAAGAGAAAAAGAAAAGAGAAAAAAGAGAAAAAGAGAAAAGAGAAAAGAAAAAGAAAGAGAAAAAGAGAAAGAGAAAAAGAGAAAAGAAAAAGAGAGAAAAGAAAAAAAAGAGAAAAGAAAAAAAGAGAAAAAAAGAGAAAAGAAAAAAAGAGAAAAGAAAAAAAGAGAAAAGAAAAAAAGAGAAAAGAAAAAAAGAGAAAAGAAAAAAAGAGAAAAGAAAAAAGAAAAAGAAAAAAGAGAAAAGAAAAAAGAAAAAGAAAAAGAAAAAAAAAAAAAGAGAAAAGAAAAAAAAAAAAAAAAAAAAAAAAAAAAAAAAAAGAAAAAAGAAAAAAAAGAAAAAAAAAGAAAAAAGAAAAAAAAGAAAAAAAAAGAAAAGATTTTCTAGTATTTATCAGACACTGGCTATCAGCTCTTTCTTACTGATTAGGTATTCTGGACACAAAAATAACTTACTTTCATTCATACTATCCTAAATATGGTGATGTACACAGCTGGGGAAAAATGATACTACTTCTGTTTCACAAGTGACCAATTTCATTGCTTATAATAAAGGTAAATCTGGTCACTTATTGTGGAAAGGCGGTAGTAATATTTAGTTCTTGAGTATAGCATACACCCCTAAATTTTAAACATAAAAATTGGGGGTTGGGGGGAGAATATATATTAAACAAATAATTATGGTAATGATATTACAAGATAACAAGTGCTTTGTTGATTGTATTAAATCTGATATCTAAATAAACTCAATGGTTCAAAGATTTCTCCCTTAGATGAATAAAACGTGCTTTGGTATATCTCCACAGCTTAAAACTAATAAAACGTGCTTTGGTATATCTCCACAGCTTAAAACTAATAAAACGTGCTTTGGTATATCTCCACAGCTTAAAACTAATAAAACGTGCTTTTGGTATATCTCCACAGCTTAAAACTAATAAAACGTGCTTTGGTATATCTCCACAGCTTAAAACTAATAAAACGTGCTTTGGTATATCTCCACAGCTTAAAACTAATAAAACGTGCTTTGGTATATCTCCACAGCTTAAAACTAATAAAACGTGCTTTGGTATATCTCCACAGATTAAAACTAATAAAACGTGCTTTGGTATATTTTCACAGATTAAAACTAATAAAATGTGCTACGGTATACCTTTACGGCTTAAAAATAATAAAACGTGCTTTGGTATATCTTCACGGCTTAAAACTACTTACCATTTTTGGTCGTGATACTCCTGAAATATCTTGGAGTGAATTCTTTTTTGATGTCTTTCTTAAGACATGTCAAATTTTTATGGTCATTGCTCTGTTTGACACGAGAATTCTTCAACTTGGATTTCTGATCATCTAAAATGGCAGGCAGCAAAAGATCAGAAATAAATAATTGACAGAAGTGTGTTTGAAAGGGCAAAAACCAAAAGTTAAAAACCAAAAGTTAAAAAAAAAAAAAAAAAAAAAATTGGTGTCAAAATGACATTTTTTTTTTTCCTTGACGCCAACGTTATTATATATTTCCCTGACTCTCTGGCAATGTTTATTGTGTTAAGATTCTATACAATATATCAAATTTGAATAAAAACTGAGAAGAGATGTTGAATGCAGTCTAAAGATATGAAATGTAGTGAATTAACACACACACTCACACATTGATCAAAAAACACATAATGAGGATTTATGGCTCTGCCGAACACTACATGTGTGGGAGTTTTGGATTGATTGCAGGATATGAATCATCATCAAAGATGTAGGAAAAAATTGTTGGTTCCCAGTACCAGTAAGTAGTTGACTCCTTGTGCTATTGTCTACCTTTACAAGAGTCAGATCAGGTGTAAAATGGAGTCCTGCTGTCATATTTGGGCAAGAGCTGCCCAGTTGTCACTTTCCAGTCTTGATACTGTCCAAGAGCATCTCTGCATCCATGTGGGTGACAAATTATTTTCCACCCTCCACCATCTCTCCCACAGGTGGAATGTGGTGAGCCTCTTACTGTTGTATAGCTACTTCCATGAAATGTGCTCAGGTGAACTGCATTTCTTGGTTCCGGGATTAGATTGTTCTAATTCTACATGCCATGCCTTTTTTGGATACACCCCTGGTCAAAATCTTAAAACCAGATACAAAAGGAGTTAAAAAAAATAAAATACTGTTACTTTAATCAAAATACATTTGCAGAACATTTACATTGAATTAAAGAAAAAATATTTTTTCAATGTTTGTTTAAATTAATCAATTACAATCTTGTTTGTTGATAAACTTCATTTTCTAATTAAATGTAAATGTTTCACAAATATATTTTGATTAAAGTAACAGTATTTTATATCTTTTTTTAACCCTTTTGTATCTGGTCTTAAGGTTTTGACCAGGGGTGTATCTCAGTATCAGTTAATTCCCTTTAATAACTCAACTCTTCAAGTTTTTATTCCCTCTGCTATGGCCAGGTATTGAACTCACAACTCTTTGGGTCAAATTACTTTTTGGATCATTGAACCAACGCTTTTATCCACAACAGCCGAAACATTGTGAATATGGCAATAAAGATGACGATAACAGTCTGCGGAATGTAAATAGTTACAATACCTCATCTCAGAAACATAGACAGATCCTGAAGAAGGCCGGAGCGTACAACTGCCGAAACATTGTGAATATGGCAATAAAGATGACGATAACAGTCTGAGGAATGTAAATAGTTACAATACCTCATCTCAGAAATACAGACAGATGATGACATTAGTCCAAATGTAAATAATCATTTTTTTTTTTTTTCAGTATTCTTTTTCCTTTGAAAACAGAGAACCTCATTCAGGTAAGGAAATTAAAATATGTTTCAAAAAAAGTTTGTAGCTTTACAAATACAAAAAAAAAAAAAAAACCAAAAAAAAAAAAAAATACAAACAAACAAACAAAAAAAAAACAAACAAACAAAAAACACAAAAAATACAAAAAAAAAAAAACAAACCTTTTATCTTGGTACGTGTACGTGCCATTTCGGTACAATTTTTAGTTTGGACTTTATGTAATTCTAGTTTTTGATCTTTTGCTGGGATTTTAGAATTCAAATATGTTTGGCTCTTTAAGGATTCTTCCATTTTTAACATCTGCTGCTTTAGGTCCACAACTGAGCTTCTGTAATATTAGAAAGAATTTCTTCAGAAAAATAGAAACTATTGGTTTCTCTGGCAAATTCTATTTTACAATGGAAGCGAAAAAAAGATTCACTCAATGGAGAAAAATATTTTTACTTACTTTGATTGTTCCGACCCAGTAGAACTTAATTTCAATTTCTTAGCAGAATCCAAAGAAATCTTAGTGTTTTCCTTTGCATTTTTGTCTTTTTCAATAAAATGCATCTGTTTAGAATTCGGAAGCTTAATATTATAAGCTGAAAAATAAATGTAAAACACAGTTGGTTAAAAACAACATAAATCTGCTTTGAAAACCAGATTCATTTGGGAAAGATTAGAATAATCTGGAACACTATTTACATTATTCGGACTATTGACAGGACCCAAAGAGTGTGAGCTCAATACCCGGCTAAGGCAGTGGAGAACTTAGAGAGGGGAATTAACAGGAGATAACTGATAACTGACATCCATTAAACATAGGTACCTCCACGAAATTAGACAAACATTTAGACAATAAAATTTTGTTTTCGTCAAGTTTGGCGTCTTTTTCATCATGCTATGCTCTTTTTTTAGCGATCTCATGGAGGTACCTAATTAAACATGGCACATGGAACTAGAACAGTCTACCCCAGTGAGCAAAATAAAGGGTTCAGTTCAACATTCCAGCCACCTGAAGAAGGCCTGAGCGTACAACGGCTGAAACGTTGTAATAAATATGGCGACAAAAATGAGGACAATAGTCCGAATAATGTAAATAGCGTACATAATACCTCATCTCAGAAATATAGACAGATAATCTGGAACATTTACAAGACAAGGATGCAACTTTTAACAAGATTTATTATACATTCACTTGAAGGTAATCCTAAGGGAACAAAAAGTCTTGCCCAGGGTTATCATTGGTGGACACCATCTTGACAACTAAAGATATCCAGATGACACTGTGCTGAGAGCAGATACAGGAAGAAAACTAGAAAAACATAGACATAGTGTCAAAGGAATGGTTTTTCCCTTGACACCACTATTATTTTAACTACCTTCACTCCTCAGCAATGTTTATTGTTTTAAAAAGCGATGATTAGACTTGAAATAAAACTTAAGCATAAGAAAGTGAATTTATACATTTTTTTGTTAAGAATTTATAACAAAAATATTAAATATTATTTATTTATTAGATTGTTGATTTAAAAGAATAATTTTATATTTACAACATTCTAAAAACTAATACAATTAAAACCAATACAATGCAATATTTATTATTTACCAATTTATAGAGAAATAATTGTGAAAACAATTTTTTATTCATAAATTTAAAAGCATTTACTAAATTATTAAAACATGGGAACCAACAATAAGGAAATTCTTATTTACCATTTTACAAAGGTTGACTTAATAGGCAATTAGTTGCTGTTTTGCCAACCATTCCAATAAATAAATAATGTTTATTATATTTTTGTAAATTTTCAAGAACAAAGAAAATGTATAAACTTACTTTTAGGTTTTATTCCAATCCTAATCATCACTTTTTAAAACGATAAATATTGCCGAAGAGTGAAGGTAGTTAAAAAAGCAGTATCATGGGAAGAAACGTTCTTTGTCTATGTTTGCCAGAAATACCTTGTCATTTTTAAATCTTCTCATTTGTACCCTCTTACTTCTTTAAATAATGACCTGCATTTCTGTTTATGAATGTTAATGTAATATTTTTTTTTTTTAAGCTGTTAAGCAAAAATATTTCACATTGCAATTGGGGAATTTCCAAAGGTATTCTATAGTCATGGAACTCACAAGGAGCTTATTTAATCCTTAAAGATTCATTGGAAAATTTAAGTAGAAAACTAAAATTTTAACATGTATTTTTAGTTATTACCATTATCTTTTGAGTCTAATCATCATTTTATTCAGTTAAAACATTTTGGGCCGTGTTGGTTACCACTGCCATCCATCTCACAATTGTTGTTCATAGTGACATTTAAGGCAGAACAGTGCAATGGCTTGTTGGTTCCTTTTGCCTCAGGGATGTTCAAGTTACCCGTTATATGGTTCCTCCTCTCAAAGATGGATCTGTTACCTTCTTCTAGCCTTTGCCAGGACCTACAGGGCAGTAGGTGGTTTGAATTCAGAGTTTCCTTCTCCTAGACTGGTTGTCACCCAAGGCTGTAAGACACAGTCTGTCCTGTTATTTATTCATTAGCAGATGGTTTGAAATTAAAAATGTCCTTCTCCTAGACTGGTTGCCACCCCAGGCTATAGAACCCAGTCTGTCGTACTATTTTACCCATAGCTGGGAGGGGGAGAAAAGAGATGAATTCATATCTTTCCCTAGCACATAACTGAATGTAATGAACTTGACTGGAATTTGAACTCAACTCTCCAGTTCCTTAATCAGAGGAACCATTATTATTCCACTATGCCTCCTCTTTTGAGACTACTTTTATGTTTTAAGAGCTGCCTGCAAGTTTCAATCTGAAACCTCAAGCATCTGCAAGAGACTAATCAAGAAAAAGGGATGGGACAATGTTAATGTGGGAGATGGACATGGGGTGTGGTAGGGTGAAACTGATCATTAACAGTGCACAGAAAATGCAAGAGGCAAATCTGCTGTATTCACTTCAAATGAAATCGCCCAGGAAAGACATGACTATGGTAGTAGTATCCTATGTTCCCTAAGTACAAGCAATGAACTCGCCCAAGTTGGCTATTTAACTTGTAACTCCTTTTGTAGCTGAGTTTTATTTAGTTGAATAAAACTTAGCACTTTTATTGTTGTCCTGAGCTCTGTTTTCTCTTACAATTACTACAATGACTTCATCCCTTTCCCCCCAGCTATGGGTTAAATAGCAAGACAGACTAGGCTCTGTCACCTTTGTTGGCAACTACTCTATATAAAAAAAAAGAAAAGAAAACTGAATTCCAAACTGCAGAGAAAGTAACAAAAAGTTGTTAATGACTTAATTACCTTCCCTTTGATTCTAATACCTATATAAGGGCGTAAAGTGGAAGACTAAAGAGATAACAGAAGAAACTAAAGTGAGGATTAACACTGGAATTCTGCTGCTTGTATTATAAATTCAAAGCGCAATGAAGTAGTAGTTAGTCAAATATTTAGAATCTGGATAGCCGACTTTGGAACTCCACAAATATTTTTCAGTGACAGTTGTAGTGAATATGAAAATCACGTTATGAGAGGAATGAATGAAAAACTTAGAGTGGAAACATTAACTACAGCAGCGGAATCCCCATTCAGTAATGGAATCGTAGAACACCACAATGCCATTCTGTATGAAACAATGTTTAAAACAACTTAAGTGTAAGCCTGATTTGGCTTTGGCATGGGAAGTGAGTGCTAAAAATACAAAATAGGGGGCAATTATTCACCAAATCAGCTGGTATTTGGATGTAACCCAAACCTACCGAGTGTTCTTCATGATTTTCTTCCCACCTTAGAACCAACCATTTCAAGTGAAATTGTAAGGAAGACTCTAGAAGCCTTACACAAGGCCAGAGAAAATTTCATCCAAGCTGAATCCAGTGAAAAGATTAAAAGTGGCTGGAGAGGTCCAGCAGCAGTTGTTGGTACAGATGACAATTTGATCTGGATTCATCATGGACGAGCCTTGTGTAAATGTCATCCATGTCATTTGTTTAAAGTGCAGAAGGCTTTACAAAAATCAAAAACTAATCAGGAAAAGCTGGACACATCAATAAATACAAAAAGAAAAGTGATGATTCCTGACAGTTCTCATGATGTATGCAATAAGGAAGACAGAAAAGAAAATTTAGGTAACTCTAAATTGGAGAGTGGAGATGAAACTGGACAATCAAATGACAACGGAACAATGGAGGAATTATTTTGTCTATTTGAGAATAGTTTCCAAGTAGCATCAGGTAACTCTCAACCAGGAAGCTCTTCAATCTCAAATCAGAAAAGGTTATTGAAGAGTGATAAACTACCAAGACCAAAACCAAAATCTCATGTACAGCTGAACCTGAGTGATGACACAACAATGTCTGTCAAGGTATTGTCACATCGGCCAAAACACCAAGGAAAAGATGGAGATTGGCTAAATGTACATATGCAACGAAATTCTGAACCAAGCAGTTTCACTGAAAAGATGTGGTATCATGGAATGAAATATCAGACTAGGAAGAAATAGTTTTGTTTTTCTGCATTGATGAAATAAGTCAAGAGGTACTAGATGCAAAGGGAGAAAAAAAAAATTAATTTATGTTTGCAGGACACTAATGTTAAAGAGTTAATTACCTCCCCTTTGATTCTAATACTTACATAAGGCTGTCAAATGGAGGCTACTTTAACTTTGTTTTTTTTTTTATTCTAGAAATCATAGAGGGTTAAAGAAATAGCGGAAATAACTAAAGTGAGGAATAACAGAAATCACTTTGCTATCTTTCCCAAGAACAAGCAGGACAAGGCACAGATATTGTGACCAGCCATGATCATCTGCATCCAGAGGAACCATGGCACTTAAAGAAAAAATTCAGAATAAAATAAGATTGTAAAATTGTTTAATTCAAATGTAATCCATAGTTGAGGTGGGGGATAGTTCAGCTGATTCCTTTGTCTCTAATTACAATGACAGCTTTGAATGTAAAAATCATTTTAATTGAAATATTCCTGAAAAGATGTCCTCCTACCTGTGGCCAGTTCGCCAACTGCTGGATTGTCAACAATTTTTTTCTGTTTAGAAGCAAAATTCAAACTGCAGTATGTATCATGGTAGTGTTTAGCTTCTGGTGCAATATTAACAATCAGCACAATATGAGATGAACCGCAAAGAGAATTCTGGGGGGGGTAAAAAAAAAAAAAAAATATCAATGCACACATATAAAAAAGAGGATTGCTAAATATCAACACATTCAGTTGCAAAACAGAAAGTTTATTAATTCAAAATATTCCGTTTAAGTGGTGGAAAATTAACATAATGGTTGGTAGTTTTAGTGTATGAAATGTGTAGGCAAATCGAACAATTATTATGGGACAGAAGTAGTATTATATAAATAATAGGCTATCTCTGTCCCGTAATGGTTGATATATTTAGTGTATGAAATGTGTAGGCAAATGGAACAATTATTATGGGACAGAAGTAGTATTATATAAATAATAATAGATTCCCTCTGTCCCATAATGGTTAGTACATTTAGTGTATGAAATGTGCAAGCAAATGGAACAATTATTATGGGACAGAAGTAGTATTATATAAATAATAATAGATTCCCTCTGTCCCATAATGGTTAGTACATTTAGTATATGAAATGTGTAGACAAATGGAACAATTATTATGGGACAGAAGTAGTATTATATAAATAATAATAATATACAGGGTACAATGGATAAATTGTCATATAAATTATGCAAAAATCAAAATAACACTGACATCTCATTTTAACAAATATATTTACCAAAATGACGCAAAAATATCTTGAAATACTAAAGAATAAATTTATTTAATAAAATCACCATTGGTTTCAACCACATCCTCCAGACGACTTCTGAATCTCCTGCATCTCTTCTGGACGGTCTCCTTATTTAAGTTGATGAATCCTTGCCTTCAGTTTATTTGGAGTGACAAGGAGTTTTCTTGGTCTCTCTCTCAACTGCTCCCCACACATAATAATCAAGGGGGTTGCAGTCTGGGGAGTTAGGTGATTAGATGTAAGGGAAAATATGGTCACAGAAATTGTCTGATAGCTATTACTGGGTTCTCCTGCATGCGTGGTATGGTGCAGAGTCCTGTTGTTAGACTTGGGCTCTTCCAACAGCCACCATCTTGACCAAGTTTTCTGGTGGAGTGAATTGCGTTATGGTCATCTTTTTCTCACAGATGGTGCCCAACTGACCCTACCATACTGTATAGTGGAAAAAATTAAAACAAACAATGTGCATGTGCAAAATGAAAAATATAAAATGGCAATAATGTACCCACTGTGCTACCTCTGTCCCATAAAGTTTGGTACATTTAGTGAATGAAATATATAGGCAAATGGAACAATTATTGTGGGACAGAAGTAGTATTATATAAATAATAATAGACATCTGTCCCATAATGGTTGGTAAATTTAGTGAATGAAATGTATAGGCAAATGGAACAATTATTACGGGACAGAAGTAGTATTATATAAATAATAATAGACTACCTCTGTCCCATAAATGTTGGTACATTTAGTGAATGAAATGTATAGGAAAATGGAACAATTATTATGGGACAGAAGTAGTATCATATAAATAATAATAGACTACATCTGTCCCATAATGGTTGGTACATTTAGTGAATGAAATGTATAGGCAAATGGAACAATTATTATGGGACAGAAGTAGTATTATATGAATAATAATAGATTACCGCTGTCCTATAATGGTTAGTACATTTAGTGTACGAAATGTATAGGCAAATGGAAAATTATTATGGGACAGAAGTGGCAATAAATCTAAAATGAAATAAATACCTGGAAACTTACTTGTAACAATCTGGTGAGTTTACTGCTTCTAAACAGAACGGGTCGCTAAAGAAAAGAAAGAAAGATTAATAAATATGCATTTTTATCACACACAATTGTGATAAAACTGAATTGCCTAAATATAATTGTCCAGCTTTAAATGTGGGACAGGACCAGACAAGCTCCAATCAAGATTGACATCAAGAAACAGAAATGAGAATGGATTGGCCACACAGTCATCAAGCCTGCTTCTAGTGTCACCAGGCTTGACTGGAATCCACAAAGGAAGCGAAAAGTGGGTCGACCAAAACACACTTGGCGCAGAAGTGTTGACACAGAGGTGAAGGCAGCCGGTATGACATGGGCCGAACTGAAGAGGATCGCCCGGAACCGCATCCGTTGGAGAGGTGTTGTTGCAGCCCTATGTTCCCTAAGAAATCAAGAGACATAAAGAAGAAGAATCGTCCAACTTTAATCCTAATTAATTTGAAAGCTGGTAAACTCTTGTCTGCATAAATACTTTGTTATATCCCCAAGATGACTTAAATGGGGAGTTTGAGTTTTAATTGTATTCCTAAAGCTTTTGACTGTATTCTGACAGCTGTCATGTTAGCATGCATTTTAAAGTTAAAAAAAAAAAAAAAGTCCTGGGTATGATGATAAACTACATCCGGCAGTAAGGCCTCCGATTGGGAGATTTAAGGTTTTGAGTAGCATGGAACCACCTCTAAATTGCCATTGTTCCCAATTTCACTCTAACCCAGGGTGGTAGCACCAGTTACGGTCCCAGCTATGGGCAAATAGTGAACCCTCAAACAAAGATAAAACTATGAAAGTATTTGTTGGAATTTCAAACGCCATGGACATATGGCCCACTGGATAAAAACTCTGGTTGATTTATCCAAAAGAGACTCAAACCAAAGAGGTGTGAGTTTCACAGGGGGAATAAAAACTTGGAGAGTTGAGTTACACAGGGGAACTGAAACCGAGATATCCAAAGGCATGGCATGTGGAATTAGAAAAATTTACCTCCGTGGACTAAATAAAGGGTTTGTTTTGAAATTCCAACAAATATCATCTGAAGAAGGGCAGAGAATACAACAGTTGAAACATTGTGAATATAGTAATAAAGATGAGGACAACAGTTCGAACAATATAAATAATGTAAATAGTTACAATACCTTAGCCCACTTATTTAATTTTAGAAAATTTCAATATCTGTCTATATTTGTGAGATGAGGTATTATGTACACTATTTACATTATTCAGACTATTCTCCTCATCTTTGTTGCCATATTTATCACAATGTTTCGGCCATTGTACGCTCTGGCCTTCTTCAGGTGGTTGGAATGTTAAACTGAACCCTTTATTTCACTCACTGGAGTAGACTGTTCTAGTTCCACTTGCTATGCCTAATGGATGTCAGTTATCAGTTATCTTCTGTTAATTCCCCTCTCCTGAATAATGTAAATAGTGAAAAAATTTCAAGAAATTCATTTTTATATCTCAATGTTTATATTAGTTATAAGGACAAGTCCTTGGAGAATTTAATTCAAATTTTTTGTCAAACATGGCCCCCAGTTACTGAAAATCTTCTCTGAATCATAAAATAAAAAAAGCAATAAAACTAAAACATTATTTAATTAGAGAAGCTTTTAATTGCTTTTATGAATAAGATATATGATAAAAACTATTGTACATTATTTACATTACTCGGACACATGGCACAGTGGATAAAGGAATTAGTTAGATCCAGTGACAGGACACAAAGAGTGTGAGTTCAATACCCGGTTAAGGCAGTGGAGAACTTTCAGAGGGAAATTAACAGGAGATAACTGACATCCATTAAACATGGCACATGGAACTAGAACAGTCTACCCCAGTGAGCGAAATAAAGGGTTCAGTTCGACATTCCAACCACCTGAAGACGGCCGGAGCGTACAATGACCGAAACGTTATAATAAATATGGCGACAAGGATGAGGACAATAGTCCAAATAATGTAAATAATGTACATAATACAATAATAATCTTAGAAATATAGACAAAGATTATTGCCTTACGGAAAAAATTTGTTTGATAAATAATGAATTTTTACAAGAATTGTTTTCATTTTTTTTAAATTTTAATTAGAATAACTGATAAAATTTTAAATCTTAAAATTCTGTATTAATTTGTAGCAGTTAGTTGATAATGTTAGAAAGTAAAAACTATATTTATTAATCATAAATGGAAAAGCTTACTACAATTCAGTAAGCCCCAGTATTTTAAAAAGCATTTTAAATTTTGTGTGTGCATCTAAATGCACAGATTTTTGTAAATTCAGATATCCGTACACAACATTATCAGCAAATAAGAGTGGTAACTGTAGTAAATTAAAAATTTATTTGTAATTTTTTTCACATTTCCTCAACAAGCATCTTTGTAAGTAATACTATAATGCAAAGTACCTAAAATTCAATAAAATATTACATTACTTAGAGGATCTTTCTAAATTTTTAAGATTGTTGGGTATTTAAAAAATTATATAAAAAATGTGTTCATGTTATATTCAAGTAATTTTTTGTTATATTTCCTTTACTTAAAAATGCCAGACATTAAGCTATCAATAAATCTGTCAACACTTCCTAAAAACACCCAACACCAGAAAAAAATGGTTTTCTATAATATTTTAAGTTAAAGTAAGTAATATTTGCTTTAATTCAGATTAATTAAACATTAACTCAGTTAATCATCCTCAAATAATATTTCAGAAAAGTATCTTTGATTTTTGAAAGATTTTTTTAATTAAGAGAATTATGTTGTGTTGACAGATTTATCAATCTGGGAGATTTTAGTGAGTTTACAGATAATTAAAAAAATCATTTCAATCAATTTAAATCCTGTTTTAAATATAGCAAAATATTTTGCTGATATGAAATATTAAATTTAATCTATTAGCTTGGAACTAAAAATAAAATTTTCAAGAAAGATTTTTTGTCATTTTTAAAATGTGTTGTATAAGACACTGGTTTGAAACTAGATTGCCAGTAACACAGGCGATTCCATTATTAAATAGATCACATGATCATAAAGGAAGTGAATAAATAGGAAGTAGCGTGATGACTATACAACCACTATTCACTCTTCTTAACTATCATCTATTGCTATACGTTCACTCTCTCTACTACTATGCAGATTACAATTCTCTTCTGATCATTATACTATTTGGTGATTACTACTTGACTTGAACAAGTATTACTATTGGAAGATGTTACTACTAGTACTGGCATCTATGAAATCTTGAATATAATGAGTATTTGTGGAAATGATAATGAGCTTTCACTTGACATTGCAAAAGTGACAAGCGAAGTTGTCCAACATCACACAAAAAAAAAAAAAAATGCATTTTAAACCTGAGGTATCGCATTTTTTTTGTTTTTGTAGGTACCTATTTTTATGATAGTAGTTCTGGGGGCAGACAACTATGGATGCTTTCACCACAAAACAAGTGCAAAACAAATTTTTCATCCTAAATACTGAATTATCTTGCCAAGTTTTTTTTACCTTGCTTCTTAATCTCTTCCACTTTCTCTCCCTTCTTAACTTCTTTTTCCCTTTCTCTCCCTGCATTGTCCTTTCAGGCCATTGGCCATCAATGTCTCTCCTCGACTTCCTTTTTGTTGTTCTCAGCAATACTTGCTCCTGTAAGATCTTTTCTTTTTTCTTTTGTTTCTCTATCGATCTCTTGAATTTTGCTAAATGGTAGCTCTAAATTATCTTCAGGCCAACCAAGGATGCACAACCATTGTAACTGCCCATCAACTGTCAACAATTAGGCATGGTCTTGAGATGCTTCTAAGAGTTTACTGACCTCAGATATTATCCCATTGAAATTTAAATATGATTTTTCTTTCAGCATGGTGATTAACCAGATTTTAAAATAGAGATTAAATAAACGACAATGTTTAACTTTTGTGTACAAAAAAAAAAATGATGTGTCAAAAAGACTTATTCCCTTGACACAGCTATTACTGTATACATTTTTGACTCCATCGATATGTTTAGTTTTAAAAAGCAATGATTAGAATTTTCATCATCATCCTTTGACCACCCTATGGTTGATCGAAACTCCACTGACACTTCCTTCCCACACTGTTCAGTCCTGTATTGCTGTCCCCAGATCCACAATGTCTAACCTTGAGTCCCAAGCTATGGTGTCTGGGAAAGTCAGTTTTCGTGAGAAGACACTTTCAGAAGGATGCCATAGGAGTAAGGATGAGACGATTTCCCAGTCCGTTCAGTGGAATCTTAATACCCAAACATGTGAAAATGGATACATATTCATTATTCTTCAGAATTGACAACAAAGATGTTAAACGTTATTTATTTATTAGATTGAAAAGTTAGTTTATAAATTTTTCAATAAGAACATTCCTTTCTAAATTTATTTATAAAAAGTAAATAAATATCACACTGTATTTGGTTCATGCATTTTCATAATCTCGTAAATAAATACTGACAAGACAGTCAAAAGTGTATACAGTAATAGTGGTGTCAAGGGAATAACAGTCCTTTTGACAAACCATTTTCTTGAAGGTACAAAGCTTAAACATTGCCAAATAAATTATACTGCATTTTTGTTTTATTCCTGATGCAAGATTTTCAAATACAAGAGGTAATTTGAATATTTTTTCTTTATTTACTTTTGTTTAATAAATTCTAAATCTTCTTGGTCATAGATGCTGGATTATATTTCAGTTTTTACTTATGAAAAAAAAGAAAAAAAAAAAAAGATTTCAAAGTCCGGTAACAAAATCAAAGGGAGTTAATTCAATAATTAGAATGTGGAATGTGTTTCACTGTTAAAATCAACAAAACATTTTTCTTTTATCAGAAAAAAAATCAACCACAACAAGAGAAACGAAAATAAATTTTAATAAATTATGCTATTGGAAACTTTTTTTTCTTCTATGTGCCATGTTCCTTCATGACGTTGGCTCTCAACAATTTCTTGCTATATGTAGCCCTTAATAAATTGTCTTTTTGTTATTTCTCCTAAACCTTACGCAAATGTGCTGCTTTCCG